CTGATCCTTATTTCTGCCTTTTTGTAGGTTATTTCTGTATCTACATCCTGATCCGTGAGTGCTCCTCATTTCATTTTTCCTAATGTCTAACTCAGATCTCCTTCAGGTTAAAGAAGTGCAATTCTCCAGTCATCACTTGGCATGACTGGCCCCACTGGGTTTGCACTCAGATATTTCTTCTCCTCTCTCCTCCTTTTCCATCTCCTTCAGTCTCTCATCTGATATTGAATCCGTATTAGGCAGGGGATAAAGCATTTTGCCCACTAAGGCAAGCCAACAGCAACACCTGTACTTATTTCCCAATCTAAGCTGTCATGACGATAATGATAAAGAATTACTTTTCCTGCACTTTTGAAAGGACATCCTTGCCTACTTTTCCCTGCTGGGGTTTGCTCTATGGTAAGGGGTTTTTTAAACTGCTTTCCCCATGTAAAAATGTTGCCTGGAGATGTGGCAGAGGATAGGACAGAGAAGAAATTTTGGGGTAAGATGGGGTAGGAAGGGATGTACAAGAAGGGCAGCATCACCCATAAGGCTGGCCTTGTGAATGCTGTTTATTTTGTAACACAAGTAAAAAACAGAGTGCTCTTTGCCTTAAACTCTATTATAGGAGAAAGTTTGCTGCAAAATCGGGAGCATTCTGTGTGAATTTTTCTGGTCCCATCACGTTCAAGTCATTGCAAATGATCCCTTAAGATGCCTGTAGCATTTGAAGCCTCTTGAGGGAATAACCTATTCCCTCAAAAAAAACTAAAAAATTTACCTAAAAACTGTGCATGCATATATAGCTCTGCGTGCTAACAGAATTAACATTTTTCTTTTTTTTTTCTGTTTTCTTTCTCTGTGATAAAAAACCAGGCCCTACAGCATGTCTGATTTTTTCAACTCTTATAGTATGCCTACTTCAAGGAGGAGTTGAAGCTGCTTGTGGTTGCATGGTGTCCTGCAGGAAAATGAGAATGTTTTACAGCCTGGGTATTGCTGTAGCATATTATGGGAGTAAGCAACTGAACAGTAGACAAGAGTCCTAACTACATCTCTAATGGCTGCTGTCAGCCTGCAGCTGAAGATAGAAACCTTCATGTCCTGCATAGAGGGATGGCACCAGAGCACATACTTTTAGGGGACCTCTTTTACAATGGACAAGTGAGGAGATTTTTGTGATATCCCAGCTCTCTGGTTAGAGACCATGATACATTTCTGGTCAAGAACTTTTTCTACTGAGTCTTGGTAGTGCAATATAGCATTCCTGGGTGAACCTCTGTTATGGACTGTAACAAAACCCGTTGTTTCATGCAATGGGAAGCTATTATTACTTTGCTGATACTTCCATTCTCCTCTGTCACCTTCCTCTCCCTTTCCCTGCTTCTGTCTTGGACACCTATCCTTTTTACCCCCTTTACTTCAGTACCCTAGAAACTACTGGTCTGGCTTTGCTCAAGACAGAACCAGCTTTCTGAGAACAGTGGACTGTTCCAGCAAAGTCGTGTGGCTCATAGCATGGATGGTGGTCATGGAATCACAGAATCATAGAATGGCTTTTGTTGGAAAGCACATTAAAAATTGTCCCAATTCCTCTGTCTTGTGCAGAGTTGCCACCCACTGGATCAGGACATGCATGGCTATCCGAGGAGTGGGTGACATCAGACACATGCAGTCCTTCCTACTTGATGCTAAGCTGTGACACCAAGACTGAGTGCTTGTGTGTAAACATGAGAGGTGACACCTGGACGGGATGACCCAGGGCAGGAAAAGTGCTGGGGCCAGGCTGGTGCAGAACAATGTGTGTGGGATGTAGGAGGGCTGCCAGCAGGGTAGGGTGGGAAGGCTCCCGTATGAACCTAGAGCAAACGAACTCGCTGCCAAGTAGCACTGCTCCTGCTCCAAGGAGGATCGCTTATTGCAGTTTGAATTATTAGCTCATTTGTTGCAGTAAAAGACTGCGTGGACGCAAGGCACTGTGTGGAGACCAAACTAAAATTACATCTGTGCACAAAAAGGGCCTGGGAGCGTATTTATATCCCTGCTTTGCCATGGGACTGTTATTCAAAGCACAATATAAATCATTATGTAAAAATCAAAAAACCTTTGGTCTCTGCAATGTATCTGACATAAAAACACACAGTTGACACTAAGCAGAATTGCTAATACTTGATGCTAAAGTAGACTGATGCAGTATGTAATTTACACCGCTGTCAACTTATGGGGCATCTGCATTGCCAAATGTACTGAGCAGTAAGGTTTGGTGTTTTCCCAGCACCCAAGTCCTCAATCAGAAACGAACCATCCTCCTCCACTTGCTGAAACTTTTTATCCTTTTAAATAATTTTTAATCTTTTAAATAATTTGTTTTAAAACCTGGACATTACTTTCCACATCATCTGACCAGTTTAAAGTAGTGATGCAAAACTGAGCTCAAGAAATCCTGTACTGTAGGGCAGGGAGACTTCACAATGACAAAAAAATGTTGTGCCCATGGCTGGGGCATCTGAGTACCCTCAAGCCATGGCCCTCTTGGAATCTGGACCCTCTCTGTTTTATTTCTGGCTTGAAAAACACTCACTGGAGGCTCCAGCATATCTGCATGAATCTTGTCACTTAAATACGGATTAATAAGAATCAATGGGAAGGAAAAATACTCCACTTTTTGTGGAAAAACCATGAAACACTGTCAATACTTAACTTCAGTTTTACAGTAAGGGCTAAGCCCTGTCAGCCCTGCTCAGTGCTCAGGTCCCTCTTTTTTAGGCATTTGGCTTTATTCACAGCTTAAATTTTATCCCTAGTAAGCACTGTTATTTCCTCATACTTCCCTGTGTCCATACAAAACACTCTTTTCATATACTCCTGGTGAAGTCCTACTCAGCAGTGAGTTTTGCTCACAACTTCCCTACAAATTGTCTTTTCATCTCTCAATTCATACCGCATTCATAAAGAAACTTCTTTGTTTCAGAAATCAAGGATGATTTCTTAATCTCTGCAGAAATTGAAAGTTTGTTGATAGGATTATGCCAGATGGTGAGAAAAAGGACATAAGGTATTTTCGAGGTAGTCTATCCAGTCCATGAGTCAGGGTGACATATGCTTGTAGTAGCTTAACTCCTAACAGCATAAACCTCCTGCATCCACCTAACGGCATCCTTAATATCTGCATCACCTTTGAAGATGCTGCTAAGGATTTAACAAAGATGCTTTTGGTCACTCAGGCCAAGATAAAAGCATGCTTTCCGCCCACCCACCAGGATCCAAACCCCTATGGAGGTAATATATGACTTCACAGGTCAGTTGACTTGGAAGGTAACCTCAGCTAGGCTAGGACAAGGAAAAGCAAAGATAATGGAAAAGAAACTGCTATAATAATCATGGCCTCTACTTCAGCATCCATAAAACTTAAAAAGGATAAAAAGAAATTGCTTTCAAAATAGGAAAGAAAATTTTGTAAATATTTCTTCTTTCACTTTTATAGAATATTGGATTTGTTGCCTCATTTCTGCTAATAGGAATGCTGTGTGTATTAGCTTTTAGTGTGAAGAGGAGCATACTCCAGGAAAGTGTTTTCTTTCTCTTCTACCCTGGATATGCACACGCATCAGTTTAAAAGTGATTTCACTTTTATTTTCCCATGTCAAGCAGCCCTTTGGAGAGTGGTGCTTGGCTCTTCAGACACCCTTAGGATGCTGATGGCACTGTCCCACAGGTCAGCTCTGTTTGCACGGCCTGGGCGACAGCACACCTGGATCAAGTGACCGTGTCACCGAACATGGCGTTCCTCCCCTAGGAATGGAGAACAACAGCATGTGCATCACTCCAACTTTCAGCTGCAGACTTCTCTGACTTTGCATACATTCATAGCTCACCAGCTGCAATGGCTTCACCAAGAACATTATTAGCGATTGTTTAAAATAATCTTGCTTAGAAGGGCACTGCAATGTGCAAAGCCCATCTTTCCTACGTACTTTGTGACTATTAATGATTTTTTTTTTTAATGTTTATACATTAGTGCAAGGAATAGTGTTAGCATAATTCTAGTGTAAAAGAAAACCAGCTGTATCCATTATAAGTGCATTACTGCCAGGAACTGTAAATATGTTTATGCCTGATAGCCTTTTGACTCAATAATATCCTGCTATCTCTGTTGGGCAGGCAAGTTTTTAAACCTACAGAAGACAGGTTATGATTTTCATAACCAAACTGTATTTCTTTTTGAAGTATGTTATCTATATTCAAATATTAAGAAGGTTATTAAAAAAAATCTGCTCATGATTTTAAAGGAGAACAATTGAAATGTCATCTTCAAAGTGGTGACAAGAAGGTACAGTGTGTACTAAGAACAAGTTATATTCCTCACAGTCATACACATACGCAGACAAACCCTGCCGTATCATACCATACAAACAATTTTAATTGTGTAGTTACAGTCAATAACCACTCCTAGTCAGAACATTTCTGCATAAAGAAAATTGTGATACACTTATAAAAACAGCCAGCTGTAACAAAATAACTGGTGTTTTCATAGCAATAAACTCATAAAAAAGAAATACACCTTTATACAGAAAATTTATACAGCTGTAGCTTTAAAATTGATTGTAAACCAAAGGAAGACACATTGCAAACATCAATTATTTTCACATTAATTGCATAAGTTTCTAAGGTGATCTATTAGTTTTATTTACCTAAGCTTATTTGCATGATAGTAAAAATTGCATACAACAATAAGAGTGAAGCTTATAGTATGAATTGCTTGGATAACATAGAGCACTTTTTATAGGCAACTGTGTAAAGCACATTTTCTCTATTTAAAACTTTTAAGACACTTTGTTTTACTGCCCATCAAAATACATTTATAAATAGAAAAAAAAATCAGTATGATAACAAGAGAAGCAATATTACATTTAACGGAAACTTCCAAAAAAATTAATTACAACATGATGCTGCAGGATCTACAAATAAATAATGAGGACTAAATTGTGTTTCACATTTTCTTTTTCATTTTCTTTAAAACCATGTAACAATGAGAATGGAAAAAAAAAAAAAATACAGTGACCTTTATTTCCAAAAGAAAACAAATCTGAATTACGGCAGTGCCATATAATACAAGGCATTTGTTGGCATATGTTATCTTTAAACTGCATTCCACAGTCTATAGTTCTTTTGTAACATACAATAGAACAAGAGTAGCAAACTCTTTTTATTTTATTTTTTCTTTTTAAATAAATGTGAGTTTCCAAAGATCAAGTGTGGAGTGCTACAGTAATAATTAAAAACAAGAACATAATGAAAACAAAAAACAGTAAATCACAAAAGTTGTAATGCTTGTCTGAAGGCTCCAGAATCAAAATCACTGGTATCATGCTTATTGGGTACACTCACAGTGTATCCAGTGAACACAAATTAATATCAAACAATCCTCAACGCTTCATCTGTTGCTGCGAAGCAGTTTGTAAAACAGAGTAAAACATCTAGTGCAGTCTGCATTATCCTTTTTTCAACTTTTGTGCAAGTTTTGGAAGATTCATTGGCCAAACAATGAATAATAAAGGTTTTTGACAGAACGCAAGATGGAATTTTCATTTCATTAGTAAATACCAGTGGCACTGTTGAAAGAAAATAATACTTTTAGATCAGTCTTTCAATTCAGCATTAATCTCTGTGTTCCCTTCTACTGATAACTCTTCTTCTAGTTTAACTGAAAAAAGCGTGTTTGCATTTTTGTCTTGGATGCTGTCTTCTAGATCCTTGAGCAACTCTTCCTCTTTGTATTCTGCAACATCTACCTCCAACCCAGAATTGTCCTTCAGCTTTCCATGGTGTTTGAGATAATACCGCTGGTTCTGAAAGAACTTGATGATGGTGTACTTGGGCAGGTCAAGCTGAGCGGAGAGAGTCTGGATTGCTTCTTCATCAGGATACAGGCCCACATCTTGTATGAAACTCTGTAGGATCCCTAGGGCTTCAACAGAAATCTTTGTTCGTGGCCGGGGTTTCTGACGATTTTCATCCTCAGATTCAGCTGGTGATGCTACTGTCGGTTGCCTTGGGGGAAGTCTGGGACCCGGTTGCTGTTGCTGCTGCTGCTGTTGTTGCTGTTGCTGCTGCTGCTGTTGCTGCTGCAAGACAAAGCACAATTTTTTTTTTTTTTTGTACACGTATTCTTGGTAGCATTTTGTGTTACCATGAAAATCCAGGGGAACAATTGCAAAACTATAGGCAACTGCCTGGTAAGTTGAAGGAAAACAAAACAAAGGGCTCGTTATTGATGATAGTACGGTGAACCCGAAATAAAGGAGAATTAGTAACCCTCTGCATATCTCGCATGTATCTGCATGTGTGTAAGCAGAGACTGGGATAAAGGACTGTGAGGATGCGGGCAGAGCTGTGGCACCCTAGCTTTGTCTGGCTGGAAATGCCGATGACGTGTCATCGGTATAGTTAAGCTGACACAGTTTAATGAACATGCTTCACGAGTCAAGTGCAGACAAGACAAAATGCTAAGTAGGTGACATAGCGTAGGATTAACTTGACCAGCTTAGCCAGAACTGTAGCAAGGGCAAAGTGAGAAAAGTGCCAGATGAGGGCAAACACACAGGAGCTCTGCCAGCAGCAGCAGCTGCTGCCCAAAAGCAAGGGCTGCAAATCTCTAGCAATGGCTAGGGTGAGGGACAGGGGAGATCAAGGGAGGACCTTTATAGCTAAGTGTGGAAATATCCCACCACCAAACTGAGCTGAGCAGCTGCTGAAGCCTCCCCAAACTTGCAAGCACTACTACAGACTGTGAGAGCTGGAAGTGCTTAACACCACTCTGCCAAACCCAGTCTTCACAAGGACAAAGAGATCAGGAGACAGCAACTCGTTATTTCCCAGGCTGGCACTGGCCCATCTTGCCTGTGGCCACGGAGAGGGTCTGTCTTGCCTGCATTCAAGGATCCCGACATATAAACAGGGAACAAATATGTTTACCTACTGCGGTGTTTGTGCTGGGGATTATTCAGTTAATATTTATAAAGCACTAAGATGCAAAGCTTTAAATAAGTTGCACTATTATTATTAGAAGGGAACATGCTGCATTCCAAAAACTGAAGCAATAAAAATGAGCCAGTATGCACATCAGAAGAATAAGATAAAGCAAATCATGATGTAAATAATTAACAAGAGCTTAAAATGAAGTTTTGCAAGCATGGATTCAGAAACATTCTTAAAAGGTGAGGCACTGAGCCCTAGAGACAGAAATGTTTTTCTCATCCACTGCTGGAGTACAGTACATTATAAGATCATGTTTAAAATCAAAAGTAAATTTATCAGCTACTGTTTTTGTTGACGATTCTTTTGCTCTGCAGCACAGGAAGCACTGGTTAGTAGATATTTTGGGTCAGCAAATTTCTTGTCATATGGTACAAACCACCGGTTATTATTAATAAACAACAGCAGCAAAACAAGCAGTTGCTATCACCACTTTTCATTTCCCTTTGCGAGTCTTCCCTCAACAATTTTTTGTGTCTCAGAAGTGGTTCCAGAGCTTTTGGTAGCAGCTCACTTGCAGACCTCAAGTAGCACAAGATATTGTAGGGGTAGTATAAATATTGGATTGGAAATTTCATTTTGCAGTGCTGCTTGTGCTTGTGGAGACTTCGTGTAGATCTCAACACCCATATCAGCAGTCTCTGCTTGAAAAGATCCTGTTATTGTGTAACACAAACGCTGATGGAATCTGGGCTCTTGTCTCATCCTTATTCACATTCTTTCATGTTTTATGGTCTGCGAGCAGTCCCATTCAAAGCTTCAAACCCAGAGAGATTCAAGACTACTCCCAGCACATTAAATTCTTACAAGACTGGAGGCTTTGTATACACAGTTTGAAAACTTGTGTCTTAGCTACATATTTATGCATCTTCAACAATTAGAGTGCAGTAGAAAACAGACAAGACTCAGGCCCAGGCCCCCAACCCTTTCACTTACAAGTCACATTAAGAGATTACAGTGCAACTGCTTATGTGAATAATATTTGTGAGATCAAACACAAAACTTTTATCAATAAGGCAGGAAAATCTAAGTAAGTAGCACAGTGATACAGTGTTTATACTGTGCATAAGCTTCTCCTTTTATCCCTTTAATAAGCCATTTTATTAAAAACAATGTACATTTCCAAACAAGTGCTGTTTTATTACTTAATATAGATCTTTCTCTCTTTTTGCTAAATCAAACAGCAAGTTTCCAGGCTTTCACGATTATTTTAGTACTTGATATCCTAAGGGATTGTCTTATTCAGTTTGCTTTATCTTTAATATACACTCACATTGTTTCTGCCTGTGAGATAACTTTATCCTCCCTAGTTCTGTAAATATTTTTCTGCACAGGTGATACAAATGGTACATCAAGGTCTCAGCTGAGGTTGAGAACTCTGAAAAACAGGGGCAATATCTGCCCTGTAACAGGGAGCAGCTAAAAAGCTGACCTCGGGTCTTCATGAGAAGGGATTAAAAAGCCTTCAGCTCAGAGAGCTGCAGATCATAGAATTACAGCATGGCTTGGGTTTGGAAAGGACCTTAAAGGCCATCCAGTTCCAAGACCTCTGTTGTATACAGGGCTGCTACATGCTAGATCAGGCTGCCCATGGCCCTATCTAACCTGGCCTTGAATACCTTCAGGGACGGGGCATCCCCAGTTTCTCTGGGCAACCTGTTCCAGCTTTGACCTACAATATTTAGCAGATGGCCATCTGTGCTCCCCGTCCCGCGGTGCCTGGGCGAGCCAAGGGCCTAGCTTCTCCAAGCCAAGTGTATGGGTCCTGCAAGCCCTCAGTTCTCTCCCTGGCACATTGCCCTCGTGCCAGCTCACCTGCGGAGCAGCACCCAGCCAAGGTCCAGTGGTCAGCAGGCCTGGTAAGAAAGCGCCTCTATGCTCTCCTTTCCCAAAGGTGGTGGGAGAGGGGCTCTGAAGGAAAAACAAACAAACATTGACTCATCCCAGGCTCAGCTGGGGTTAAAACGGGCTGGGGAACCAAGTCTCCTTCCCTCACTCCAACCTGGGGTGATCAGCTGCTGAATGCTGAGCTAAGCTTTCATCAGCAGCTCAATAACCTCCTCCCTCTGAGCTGAGCTCCAAGCATCCCTCTCTTGTGGTCATGAGGTCCATCTAACAGAGGCAGCTAACACAGGAGGCTTGCTCTGCCCACACATGGCTATGCCCAAGCTGCTTTGTCACACATGCTTGGAAAAACCCAAACTGAAAGAAAAAGTCTGTGTGGTCACTAACTCATCTTTTAATTCAAGTGGCAGACGGCAGTATGCTGTTATCACTTACCAGGAGACCTGTAGTTGGCCTGGCCAGGAGGAAAGAAACACTAATTTCCTTTGCTATGTTTAAAGCATTATTTACTTAGTGCTCTGCTGGATTGGCCAAGGTAAACTAACCTGAATCTGTTCTGCTGGCACATGGATAATGTGGGAAGGCCTGTCACCATGGTGATGAACTGCATTGCTTTCTTGTTCATAAATGGCATCGCGTTCAGGCTGAGGAAGACTGAGGAACCTTCGGATCATGGAGAGATTCTCCCAGAGGGTCCTGTTCTCTGGTGAGGGATCTTCTTTCCAACGCAACAGCTCACAGAGCCATCCCTTGAAGATAACACCAGCAAAACATTAGTTTTTCCTTGCCTTGCAAGGGGCAAGTGAAGGTGAAATGCAGACTTGAGCAGCATTGCATTCTCTCACCTTCTCCTCCAGGAAGTCACAGCTTTCCCTGTAAATCCTGGATGTGAAATAAACATCAATGCACTGAGACTGCCACCCTACTGCACAGACCCCTGCAAGTCGCGAGCATTTTGGAAAGCACATTTTACTTGGTCCCACACCACGGTGCTGTTGTTTGTTCAACAAACCCATCGATCAAGGCAGAATCCCCCATCCCCTCCTCCCCTACACATTGATGCCATATACTCTGTCTACTGCCAGTTTTCTTCTGTTTATCCATTGGAGAGCACCAACACTGTTTCAGTAGCTGGTTAATCAGCTGCTGAGCAGTTTTTAAATATTGGTGCTACTTCTCTAGACAAGAAAGTACTCTTGGTACCTGCTTTGACCACAGAGCTGTCTGATGTAAATCATAACGATAGTGGAATTCCCTAAAGTCCTTTTAAAAGAGAAAAATTATTTGATGAGATGCAGGAAAGTAATATTGTGTTCCTATCTACCTTGAGTAGAAATGCCTCTGCAGGTGAATTTATTTGAAAATGATTATCTGTTTCAGTATTTTTCTCATAGACCCAGAAAAAAACAGTCTCTCATTTTTCCATAGAGCTTGAGGGGGACATGAGGGAACCCTTACCCTTCATACCTTTTCCAGGTCACCAAACAGCAAGATGCCTAAAAGCACACCAATCCTAAACCAGCAATTTTTTGGGGAAACAAGCTATGAAGCACAGTGTGCATCATCAGCATATTTTTGTATATTAAAATTTAGAAACAAACTATTACACGCATGCAACCTGCATATTTCTTCCTTTTAGCTTCCAGGATCTGTTTTCAAAACTAGGTCTGTGCAATTTTACTTCTTAATGCCGTGGGAAAGATAATGTGACATTTTATTGAATCAACAAATAATATAAATGTACAGAAGCTTTTAGATCCTTCTTACATGTACTGGTAGTTGAAAAATGGTTTATCCAGACTAGTTTACTACTAGATACAATAGATACATAGATACAATATAGATACGTCATTTTCCTGAAGACATTCATATCTTTAGCTAGCAGTTAATAAATGCAGTGTAAAAATATTGCTGTGACAGGAAGAGATGAAAGTAAACAAATAATCTTAATGCGTTCATACTGTATGAGAACATATTTAGTGAGGTGTGTATAAAGATTTCAAGTATAAAATGGAAAAGTGAACAAATGACACAGGAGAATATGCCCCCAAGAAACAGAGATAGCATAAAGGACAAATATTGGCAATATCAGAAGGCAAAAATCTGAGTAGGGCCCAAACCGGGGATGGGGCAGACTCCAGTTTTTGGTCATGCATATACTGGTATTAACCCCAGGTTTAAAAAGTTGATTGAGAAACGTGGCCAAATGCTATCCTATAAAAATATAACATATAAGCTGTCCCAAATGGAACCATACGGTATGTTTCCAGAACAGGAGCTAGTGTCCATGAATTCTCCCTCCACATCATCAGCATCCATGGGATGTGTTAGTAAGTTAACTCACAAACCCTCCATGCCCTTAACAAAATCCACACATTGCACGTAGTTCTCTGCCTGCCATGCTTCCAAGGGAATAAACATACAACTACTAGCTTTCTGCAGCAAGTTAAAAGGTGCAATCAGGGAGCGTAGGTACTTTACTGGGGAAGGAGGAGAGAAGATGAAGATAACAAAATTGAAATCTTTTAATTGAAATGTGGTTATAAAAATTTTAATTAAAAAGGAGAAGGTCTGCCTTGAAGCAGAAAAAAATAGTTGTTTGGTTGCCTGGAGTCTGCACTGCTTCACATTAAATCTGTTTGTCCTCTTTCCAATTGTGGTGAAAAAAAAAGCAGAGCAGCCACAGCAATTAGGTGAAAAACTTGTCCCCTTCAATGACACCTCTTTAAGGTATCACAGACCTAAGAAGAAACTGCACCACACATTTAGAAACGGCATTTCTTTTGTCTGGTGACCACGGGAATCCCAGATGCTCTTTTTGAAAAGGACAATGGAAACTCTTTTTAAGTGATCAATAATAAAATAAATCTAAGCAATCACGGTTTATGCTGATTAAATATATTTCACAACATTTTCGTTAAGTAAGAAATTCCTTCTCCTCATATTGTCTTTTCCATGCTCGCTAGATCAGTCCTTAATTTTACTAGTTGCAGATGACTGACATTACATTTCCAATACTTTTCTATTAGCCTTTGCACTAAAAAAAATGCATCTAATTCTTTATCTAAGAAAGATTTGATGAACTGTAAGATAAAAGTATATCTCTGCCAGCCTTTCACAAAAACACTGATTTTCAGATTCTAAAGACAGTTGCTTCTGATGGTGTGTAGAACAGACTGCTACTCTAATAAAATGCCTCTTTTCCACTCTGTTCTTCTATTCCTGAAGAAGTAAACAAATATTCTGGTGAAATATGTGATGGGCAACAGGGAAATGATGGAGTGAATTCTTTTAAGAACAAGGAAGTAAGTAATTTTTTGGACTTCATTTATTTCTGATACTTTCTGTTAAAGTTGATCTCACAAATAATCTCAGAAGAGATAGTGAACGTGCAGTAACAGAAACTCTGGGGATTTATTTAGTTAAAAGGGTGAAAACTTTACTCCAGAATATTTTCTTGTGTTTCATTTAATTTGTGTTCAGACTTCTCTATTCGACATAAAGCTTATTCATAAAAGTCAGCTAAATGAAAATGTATGAAATGTTTTTGTAACTTTGAGGAAAACTAATGATACAGACTCTTCTAATGGTGAATTTTAAGTTCTGCAAAATTTGTATGTTTTGCCTCTATTTGATCTAAAGAAGAATGAAGTGCTGTAGCTAATGTAGTTTAATTCACAAATGGACCTAACAAGGCTGATTTTTCTCCTCTTCCACACCCGTAAGTTTAGAGCAATTTCTGTCTAGTTAAGAAAATTTATTCTGAAGGAGAGCTTGGACAACTGTTTTTTTCATGTTTTTATAATCTTAAAGAAGTAGAAAGGACACTAAAATAATAACAAAATATTTATAACTCAAATTAGATGACAACCAGCTTCCATAGCACGTGCAGCACATCATTAAAAATGCTTTAAAATAATTAGGCAGATACATCTATGCAGCAAGGCAAACCCCAAAACTCTGCGACGACATTGGGAAAAACCTTGATTTTAAAACACAGTAAATTTGCCAGGCAACATTACACTGAATATAAAGAGAGTACAAAGCAAAATATAAACATTAGCCACATGTAAATATGTTTGCAGAACTTTCAGGATGTTACTACTTTTCAAACTGACAAAGTTTAATTTGACACCTTCTGTTCTAAAACCTTTGTTTCTATTCAAAATCACGCCTTTAGCTGCTATCAATCACTATGCTCTCTCTATTACTTAAAATACTGGCATGGGCCCTGGATAAACTGAAAATGCCATGCAGATGAATTCTGAGATAATATGTTCAAACCTGTTATATACAACACAAATCCTGTAAAGTTATGTATTGTAAACCTACATTTATTGGGAACTAAAAGTCTTAAATCCATCTGCTACAAAGAAAATACTGTTATGCACTTTCAAGTAACCAAGTACCATCTGCAAAGGTCTTGCTACAGTAAGCAAGAAAATGGTGAAAAAAAAAAAAGATGCTAAACCTAAGATATTTAAAATAAATAAGAGTCTTCTGTCTGGTTTTCTGATAGGGATTTAGCAAAGAAACAGAAGACATTAAAGGAAAAAAAATGTGTGAAAGCTGAACTGCCAAACTAATGCAGGAAAAGCGCAAAGAGGATAACTGCCAAGCATTAGAGTCTGCACGACCCATGAGCACCCTTATTTTAAAGCATACATGCATTTTATCTATGTATCCAAATGTTATTTTATTCAGTCTGAGCTGAGTTTTGTTTAAATAAATTGTTCTGCTCTGTCACGTAGTGTCTAAAAAGCTATTCTTGCATTCCAGTATCTTTCTTACTAAACAAGAAAAAAAAAAAAAAAGATAATTGAAATCTGCACTTAAGGTGTAGATACCAATTCTAACTAGATCAAAGAGGGCAGCATTACCAGCATGAAAAATGCTTTCTGGGCAAAGCTTTCCAAGACAGCAATAAACAAGTCCGGAAAGAAAGGACTCCATGGTGGAGCAACTGAACTCTGTTGTTTGGTGACTTTGCTATAGCGATGATCATTTGCCAAATGTTTAATATTTCTTACAGAAAAACTAACAAAGAATCAAATGTTTTAAAAAAAGAGCTGTAGTTTGAATTCAAGAAGGCAAAACATTTTTCACTATCAATACTAAAATGTGAACAGCTTTTCTTTGGTATAGCATATCTGACATTATTTTGTATCAGTCTCTGGGGCACATAGTATAATAAAAATATATGGCGTTCGAAGAAATCAGTCTAAATAGGGAGGTGTTTGATACAAACATTTTAGCAGAAAGTTGAATTGCATTTCAGCATCTACTGTGAACAAAGACTAAGTACATAATCCATTAAACAGTACTTCGAACTCAAAAAATTGAGTATTGTAGACTAAACTAAAGTAGGCATTTTGAATGAGCACATTTTCAGCAACTAACTATAAAGCTAGCAATTTATCATTCAGCAAATAATTTTCTACTTTTAAAAGAATCTGTAAGTGTTACTTATGCTAATGAAGACTGTTTTTAATCTGCCCACAAACATGCTAAATAGAGGACAATTTTTTTATTTACAATGCTGAAGGCACTCCAGTTTATAGAACACAGATATGAAATTACACTTGGTAAAATGGGCTCTTAATTGTCTGAGCAACCCAAATCCTTCACCTTTAACACAAAAGCTTGTAGACAAAACAAAGGAAAAGAACTCATGAACTAAACTTTAAATATTGACTTTTTCCCTTCAAAAGCCGTCCAACTTGCTTTACAAATCTCAGTTTTGTACCAA